TGAGACCAAACCACCTTTTAGTTGCTGCAGACGAAGGGCATTTCAGGCGGGATGGGTTTGGCGCGGTGCCAGACCTACTCTTCACCCGCTGTTGAAGCGAGCAAGGGAAAAGTCGTCGTTTTAATCGTACCACTCGTTTTCTACCGATTGTTGTCCCATACACTTTCCGACAACTGGCAGGGGAGGGTGTGGCGCCGTGGCACAGTCACACCGCTCGACACACCCCTCAATCGGTTACGAACGGTGTATACCAGAGGTGCTCAAAATATGAGAAGTAACAACCCACAAAACATATTGCAATGTGATTGGCTGGAATCCATGAGGCTCAGCGTGCCTGTAGGGCGCGCTGCCGTCCGTGGAGAGGGTCCTCCCTTCTTTGCGCCAAACCAGTGTGATGCTCTCCGAACATGCGCATCGCACCCTTGTCGAAAAAATGGATTCCTCTTCCAGGGCACATGGCGCTCAAACTTGACAGTTGATAACTGGAAACGTTCTCATGATCAAAAATCGAAGAAACGTCACCAGCGAGCGCATGCGTCGTAGCAGCTGTAACGCGGCGAAAAGGAAAGAAGAGCGCGCTGCACTCCTGCAACCTTGAAGGCAATTCTTGCGGCCGCACTTCATATGGTAATACAGTTCAAAAATAGAATTGCCGTGTGCTTGTTGACTTAATGAAGGAGAAGAAAGCTCTAGAAATCGCCCGCAATGAGACCTTTATTGCAATTGATGATTACTGAACGAGCATAGGACGGTGAAGATCAGTTGTGTGTTGAAAAACAAGACGATACACTGACAGGAGGTGAGGGAGGTCAGAGAGCGACGGGCGAAAGAGCGCAATGGCCGTCCCACAACGACACCGGCATCGGCCTATTGGGGAACCATGGGCCTGACACCGAAGCGCCGTGCGTCCTAGTTACTAGTACTAGACTTTTGCATATAGTGCAGCCTCTGCGAGTGCCTACCTGGTCATAGTGGAGGTTTCAGAAGTTTCAACTTTGATTTGTCGCGGACCCTGCCTTCAAGGTGATAAACAAGGAAAAAGCAAAAAGTGATGAGAGATAACTGATCAAAAGGACTAGGACATAGAGAGCAGCTGAAAAGCATAAGCACCCTGTACCATGGCAGCGACATCGCTCGGCACGCGCTGCGTGAGTTTTCACCTCACTGATGGCTCACTCTCAGAAGCTCTTCGAAATAACTTAGTTTGCGATATTTCGGTACCTAGCACCTTCGTTAGACCTAAAATTTCAGCTTGTCGTTTGTACGACAGCATACCTACTACACCAATCCAACCTACACCGAATGCTCCCTCAATCAAACCACTCACCACGCAGTCA